GGGGGGGAGATTAGGACTGAAAACACGCATGAGCACTCAGATGAGGGAAGGCTATGAAGAGATTCCGATGAGCTGAGAATCCCATCACATTTCAGGAGAGGGGTGGTGAGAGGCCGAGGGCTGGAGCAGCCGGCCGTGCAGGCTGCCACAGATGCTCTTCCTCCTGCCTCGGGGTCGCGGGAGACCCACTGTGCCTGCCTTGAGAGGGGTGATTAGAGAGGATGGTGACACAGGCATCTTGAGGCAGGGGCCGAGGGATGGGAGAGCTTGAACGGGGTCCTGCAGACCGTGGTTTGGGAACCATAACTATTTAGAAATGTGAAAATGAAAAGCCCAAATTTGCATCGTTCGGATCTAAGCCCAGGGGTGAGGAGGGCTGGGTTGGAGTGGAGCGTTAGTGGTTTCCGTTCTACTCGAGGAGTGAGGTGGAGAAAAACTCAAAAACGATAGAGAAACAGAATCCTACTTAAGAGTTTCAGAAGGGTCCCAGGACAGGGGAAATGCTGGCAGAGTCGTGATAGGAAAAAGAGACGAGAAATGTTGCAGTCGCAAACTACAGAGTTCCAGGATTTTGTGTAAATTGTGGAAATACTCTGAAGTATTTGTACTTGGAGTCATTCTAGAGCAGTGCTTTCCAACAGAAGTACAGCACAAACCATGCGTGGTTGTAAATTTTCTAGTAGCCACGTTAAAAAAGTAAAAAAGAAGCTGGTGAAATTGTTTTTTAATTGGTAACCCAAAATACTGTTTCAATGTATAACAAATACAAAAATTATTAGTGAGATACTTTGCATTATTCTTTTGGCACTAACTCTTCAAAATCCTGTGTGTTTTACACCACATCTCACTTTGGACCGGCCACTTTTCAAGTGCCCAACGGCAACGTGTGGCTTGTGGTTAGTGTACTGGACAGGGTGCAGTTCCAGAAGACGCATCTTCCAGACCTGGCCTCTGAGTCTAAGACAATCATGAAAATTGGCATATATACTCCTGGACTTTCTAAAAAGTTTAAGGATCTATAGCTAATGTCTTGTCAAAGCTTTTGGTACCAACGTGACACAATATAAATATCCTGATGGGTGCAGGTGTTGTTATTTAGATGGTAACTATATGAATAAAAAAAGTTTTTTCTGCAACTACTTGCAGAAAATGTGTCAGTGGAGATAATGAATGTGGGGGACCATGTGCTAGTTTGTGGAGACAGTGTTTAAGACAATGGTTAAGAATGCTGAGTCTAGAGCCAGTCTGCTTAAAATCCTCACCCTACCATTGCTAGCTGACAACAAGTTACTAACTTAATCTGGATCTCAGTTTCCCCATCTGAAAAATGGAGACAGTGATATTGCCTGTCTCCAGAGAGCTGAGAGGAGAAACTGAAGTTATCCATGCAAAGCACTCACGATGAGATAAGTGCTTTATAGTACTTTCAAATGCCAAAGATTCTTTTTACCAGCAGCGAAAGAAGTTGTGTGGAGATAAAATCCTCCACGATGCTAGATCTTCTTTACTTCCATTGTGCTGGAGAATGAGGGAAATTTTCTAAGCAGAAGACCAGCATTGCAGGCATTAAATTAGGTCCTGATCTCCGAGACTTGCGGAGTGGAGGAAGAGCGTTGAAGAGATACGGGGTGCCTCCTGCCCTAGGCGTGTACCCCAAGAATAAGCCATCCAAGGCGTTGTTAAAACAGTTAATTACTCAGTAATAACTTGTCGTTTGTGTTCGACAAGGCAGAGGACTGGGTATTTGAGGCTACCTGTTTCTAGTGGTGTACTTTTTTCGGGGAGAGTATGTACCTTTGCAGCCAGTGATAATGATAACATACTGGTTTTTCGCTGCTTACTGTGTGCCAGCTACTTGGCAGAGGTATCATTTAACGCTCACAGCCAACCTATGAGGTGAGTACCATTCTTACCCCTATTTTTACAAAGAAAGAGACAGAGGTTCAAGCAGTGCCAGGATTTGGCAGGGAGAACACAATATGCATCTAGAAGGGAAGGTGCTGAGTCATTATAAGTGTTTGGGGAATAGAAGTGAATCTTAAAATGTAAGTGGCAGGCACTGCCAGGAGAAGCTGGAAGTGGCTAGGACACTGTTGTTCCAGATTTCTCCTTGAAGGTGAAGAATAAAATCTCCCCACAAAGGATGAGTTTAAGGGGTAGAGCGGATGGAGCATCTTTGCCAGAGTTTAAGGAGAGTCTGCCCCCTCCTCTCAGAGCTGAAGCTGAGCGCATGGGCACGGACGGGGTGCTCCTCTCTCACGCCGCTTCCTTTCTTGTCTCCGCAGGGAAAGGGAATTACTGGACCCTGGATCCGAACTGTGAGAAAATGTTCGACAACGGGAACTTCCGCAGGAAGCGGAAGCGCCGCTCGGAAACCAGCAGCACCTCTGCGGCGGCCGCGGGGGCATCCAAGTCGGAAGACGGGCTGTCCTCGGGACTGAGCTCTGGAGTGGCTGGGAAGCCAGAGGGAGACAGCTCCTCTCAGTCCCCAGAGCCTCCCGAGGGCACCAAGAGGACCGCCTCCTCCCCAGGAGCATCCATGCTCACCTCCACCCCTTGCCTGAACACCTTCTTCAGCAGCCTCAGCACCTTAAGTGTCAGCAGCAGCGGGGGCACCCAGCGAGCTCTCCCCGGCGGCCGCCACCTAGGCCTCCAGGGCGCCCAGGTGCCCCCCAGCAGCACCTTCCCCCCCAGCTCCGTCTCGGAGGCCTCGCCAGACACCTTGCAGCTGAGCCACAGCACCAGCAACGCGGGCGGCAGCCAGAGATCTTCCTATTACAGCCCCTTCCCTGCCAGCACCAGCGGGGGTCAGAGCGGCCCCTTCGGCAGCCCGTTCTACAACTTCAGCGTGGTCAACAGCCTCATCTACCCCCGCGAGGGCTCCGAGGTATAGAGCGCGGCTTCTCAGACTTGAACGTGCACACCTGAGATCTTGTTCACATGCAGATTCCCAGGCGGTAGGTCTGGGGCGGGCACCGAGATGCCACGTTTCTCGAGCTCCCGGGAGAGCTCCGGGTCCATCCGCTGACCTCACAAGGAGGAGCATGGATGCAGCAGGAGTCTCTCTACTTCTCGGCCAGCTTTGACAGCTTTCTCTGGATAAGGGCCTTCCTGGAGAGAAATCCAGCCCTCTCTGTTCTGGGCTAGTTAGTACCTGTGAGCCCTGTGAGGGCAGGGACCATGTCTGTCTGTTCATCAATGTATATCAGGGTTACAAGCTCAAGGGTGTACAGGAACTGGCTGGAAAAAAAAAAGTGAATGAAGTTATTGGGTGGGAAAAAGGTAACAGTTGGCAACAGAAGCAGTAAGGACGGGTTGGGACTGACCAGCTAAAGGCTGTTATCTCCCGCCTGGCAGCATTCTGATTTTTCTAGAAAAGTCAGATACCTGGATTTTTACAGGAAGCCTCCGCTTGGATTCTTTGTGGCTAATGAAAGTTTTAAAAATACGATACTAGGAAATGCAAATACTCTATCCAGCTCGCAAATCAGCTCTATTTAGGCTCAGTGTCAGGTGCGAGGTGGACCCTAACAGCATCAAAATTGCGCAGGCAAGCCAGTGCTGTGTGCCAGGCACTGTTTTAGACACTTGACATGTATTCACTCATTTAATTGTCACAACAACCTTGGGAGATGGGTATGCTTTCTGCCCCTCATTTTCTGTACGAGGGCAGTGAAACGCCAGGATGTTAGGTAACTTGCCCAAGGCCACTCAGATAGTAAGCCGTGGAGCCAGGATCAGGGCCGGGCAGTCTGGCTCCAGAATTGGTGCTTATAAATTTTGTGTTCTAGTTCCTGGAAATCAAGGCACCAGCATGCACAGGCAGACATAGTGTGTACAGAGTAGGAGTGAGCTCGCCTTCATTTGACCAAAGATTCTGGTTGAAATCAGTGCCACTCTGGGCAGCGGACATGGACACCCCCTCTTGCTTTACTTCTGCTGCCGTATTTCTGAGGTCTGGGGTGACTAGTGTCTTACTCAACTTGGTGTCCTGTCCCTTTTAGCATGTGTCTTGGATTTTTCAACTTATACACACAAGTTTTAGAATTTTATTAGAAATAGTTTTTAAATGGAATTTTTTATAGTTTTTTATAAAACCTTTGTGATCAGAAACTTTTTAAAATGTAACTTATTTTTAGCACTCCCTTTTACTTGTCAAGAGGCATCTTCATTTGAATAGTTTTTTACGATCACCCTCCCAGTGCCCAGCCGAATGCCTGGTACCTGGCAGACACTCAGTCACTGTTTGAACTTATCCAAAAAGTGTTCATTACAGTGTGGATATTTGTTGATTGTATTGGAATAGCGATGCATTAAGATGAAGATAAAGTCCTAGGAGTTACCTTTGTACCATGCTGTTCAGTCTTTGATGGGAGCATTGCTGGTTTGGGGGTTTAATTTTTTTTTGGAAAAGGAACACAGTGCATTGTAAAAAAAATAATAATATCTTTTCTCCAGGTATTCTTTTTTGAGACTCTCACAGCATTACTGTTAAATTTTTATTTTGAAATATGCGTACAGAAAATTATTTTTTTAAATAGTTTATCGAGGTATAGATAACATCACCATTACTTTTTGAATATTATGCAGGAAGACAACCAAAGAGACTGCCTAGCCCCATATTGTGTGTACAGAAAACCAGTTTCTGTGGATATTTTTCTATGTGAAAAATTATATGGGCTTTTATACATATTGTTTCTAACAGCTCTATGTTTGTAAATTAATTTATAATGTGAACTGGGACAAAAAAATTTTTTTTTCCCCAAGAAAGCACACTGCATGCTGGAAATCACATGAAATAAACTTTAAGTGGGATGACTTCTGGCCACTTTTAGACATTACATTTTTCTGTCGTCAGCTTCTTTCTTCTAAAGGAATAGAGACGTGAGGGGCATGGCACGAAGCCACTACAGGGGTTTTTGTATGTGTTAAGAGTGAATGAATGATTGTCTGTTGGATTTCTTTGACCTGTCCACATCCGAAAGGTTTGGGATGAAACATTTACTCTTTGGGCAGGGTCTCTAGGCGTAGAGCATTTTATTTATTTTTAACAGAGTAATGGTTCTGTCATTCAGATTAAACTAAGTTTCAGTGCACAGACAATCTCTGTTCCAGAGAGAAACGGTGGTGTAGGGCCTCACCAGCCTTTAGCACCCCTCCGAGGCAGCTCTGTAGCTTTGGGTGTAGTGGTCCTTGAGGGGGCCACGGGCAGCCCATCATTTCCAAGGAAAGTTAGGGGACTTGTACTTGGCCCCAGCTAGAAGAAACCCAAAAGATAGAATTTCTAGCCTAGGGTTTCTCAGCATCAGCGCTATTGATATTTGGAGCTGGGTGAGCTTTACGGAGGTTGCCCTGGGCATCACAGAATGTTTCACAGCATCCCTGGCCTCTCCCCATCAGATGCCAGAAGCACTTCCTCTCCCCATGGCCCTGGCTGTGTGTGACAACCAAAAATATCTCCAGACGTTGCCAGATATCCCCCGCGGGGGCAAAATTAAGACCTGGTTGAGAACCACTGATGGAGACCGACGCCCCCCATTTGCCAACAAGGAAACAGAGCCCCCCAACCACCCCTCATAAAGTCCTAGGTTCTCGGGCTAACAGTTGAACCCTGAATGAATTAAGCCTCTGAGCTCTGGCATAGTTTCTATCCTACAAAACAGACGGCTTTTCTTCTAAAGAGAATGGATTATGAGCAGAAGCCACCCAGGGACTGAGGCATTTCTCAGAACTGAGATCCATCGGTTTGCCTGTCACCTTGAAGGTAGACTCCTGCAATATTTTGTGTTTGTTATAGATGCTTATGGAGGCTTCCTTCTGGGCATCTAATTATTTCTATTAATAGAGACCTAGGCTGGGAATAATTTTGACCAAACAATAGAAAACCATCTGAGTTATCATTTTTGATGGGGACGGTGGTGGGTAGGACAGGATTTTTGGAAAGAAAGATACCTTGAAAGAACATGATTAACTTGTAGTCAGAAGACTCTAGGTCTGGGTTTGATAGCTATGAAATGCCAGAATGATGGCATTTCTGAGACTCCACTTCTGATCTCCCGAATGCAAAGGGCAGCAGAGTGGCTTAGCCCCCAAGCCCAGGACTGAAGGAGCTGGGCTAAAGGCAAGTCTCCATCAGGGAACTGCCCCCTGCTGGGTCTGCCTGTGATGTTTCTAGATCAACGTCTGCACCAGCACTCCGATTGGCACTGATGTCCTGCCTCTGGGACATTTTCTGCCTGGGAACCAGGTCAAAAATTCTGGACCTGTGTCCACTTTCTGTTGTTCGGGACAGCACAAAGGAAAAGACGTGGCCCCACGGTCTATAGTTAAGCACCCTTCTTTCTCTGGGGTTCCCCCGGGGACTGGGGGCAGCCATCCCGTTGCAGCCCAGGCTAAGGTCCATTGGGCACATATATAACTTAAAGCAGCTGCCTTTCTGCCTTCTAGAACCTAGCATATCTTTTAGAATAAGATGGGGACAAAGGAGAATTTGAAAACCTAATAAGCAGGTTTCACGTTTCCTTTTTGATACTTTTAGATCCATCACCTCCTTCTTGAGCTTACTGGGAAAAGGCAGCTGGGAGCCCAGAGGCTTCAAAAACCATGTGCCTCTGCACCCCAACTCCTCCCCCAGCTCCCCAGGGTGCTCTCAAGTTCCTCCTGGGGCTAAGTGGGCCAAGCTTTGGCCCCTGAGGGAAGGAGGAACGTCACTGAACCTGAGCAGAAACGCCCACACTGTGCTGCTCTGCCTCCGAGACTTTCCAGAACTTGGAAAGAACCTAAATCTTCAGGATTTTTTTTTTTTTTTTTTTTTTTTAATCTTGAGCTGCTCTAGTAGCTAAAACCTTGAGTCTTTTTAACGAAAAAGAAACCTGCGTTGGTTTCCTGAAGCAGGGATTTGCTGGTTTCTGGGGTAGAGACCCGGGGGCCTGTGGCCTTGTCTTTTGTCATGGAAAGCCGTCAGCTGGGCTTGTGGCTGGGTGGCTGGCACCGCTGAGGGAAGAAGGAATTTCCTGTCAGGTTGGAAAACAAAAAAGGTCAAAAAAGACCTGATACCTACCGAATTCCTCCCTGCCTTTTTATGCATGATGTCAGGGGATCAGCGCCAAAACCCTGGGAGGCCTGGAGAACAGTCCTTTATCATTTTAAAAACAGTAAACATTACAATAATAATAACTCCCTTATTGGGTGCCAGGCACAGTCCTAAAATATATATATTAAATTTTAAAAAGCTACGTGAACCTTCCCAGCAACTCTGTGAAGCAGATACTGCTGTTCATTTCACCAATGAAAACACTAAGGCCCAGGAAGTGTGTAAATCCAGGCCAAGGTCAAAGATCTAAGTAGCTGCTGCATCTAAGTCGTTGAACTGAGATTCAAAATCATGTCTCTGTCAAAGCCTACCTGCCCTTAACCTACTATACTGCCTCTTCATTTTGAAGTTGAGAACAGAGAGGTTAAGTGACTTGCCCAAGGCCACACAGCTTGCTGGCTACAGATTTGGGCTTAGAACCCTGGCTTCTGCCCTGCCACCCACCTCCTTCAGTAGCGCTCCCTTCAGGCACTTCATCTATAAGCTCCCTGAGGTTGGCTTTTGGGTCCGGAGCTGCTTTCTCAGGGATACAAGGAGGTGAGCAGAGGGAAGTCGCTTTTCCTTGACGTAGCCTCCTATCCTCCTTTACAGGGTCAGCCAGCAGCCAGATCAGAGGCCCAGATCTCAGGCTCTGAAGCAGCCAAGGGAAGCCAGACGTTGGAGACACTGGTTTGGAACCTTAGACTCATAGGAAATTTATCCACCGACTCAGCAAATCCTTTTGGGCGTCAGGTCCTGTGCTGGGTCTTGAGGATACTAAGATGACTAGCCCACTCAGATCTTCAGCAAGCATGGCGGGGGCCTAGAACAGATGCGCTCAG